ATTCTAAACAGAAACTTTCTCAGTTCATGCATGCACTGTTTCAAAGCGCTGGCTTTGTTGTGCAGTAACGCTGTTTGGCCGCTATGTGTCCTTGTTGCACCTGGTGGCCGAGCAGTCAATCTTAACGTCGCGTATAATAGCGGGTCACCCAGATAAATCAGCTATTCCCAAACCCGCCGGTGCAGGTGAAGCTTCGCTCCGCTGATGCATCGATGCACTGAAGCTCCCTCTAGACGTGCAGCGAGGCACACACGGGTTGTTTTCTACTTCTTTTGCACAGTTTCTTCGTTTTTTTTTCCGATCAGGTGTGGTGTGCTTGGTGTGGGAGCATATCGTGTTGTGTCTGTGGATAGCGACTGATTGGTGCGATGACTGCGGAGTGGCTGTGCCCCCCCGGCGTGGGGCCGCTGTGTGGTGCAGAGTTGGAGGCGTGGTATGAAGACCTACAGGATATACTGGGCTCCGACGCGGGCGGGGCCAAACTCACAAGAGCCCCGCCTTCCTCCGAGGTCAGTAACGTCAAACGGCGCTCAACGGTCGCTAGGGTTGGGAATCGAAAATCAATTCCAATTCCAGAATCGAATACTTAAGGTCAGGAATCGGATACTTGTAAAATTTTCATTCCTGTGTGCACATTTTTTTTTTTTAGGTGGCGAAAAGGGGCTGTTAAAAATGTATTTGTCTTTGAATCATTCATTCAAGAGATTCGTTCAAAAACACTGAATCATCCAGTAATGAAGCAAGTAAATCTTGAGTGAGTCATTGAATCATTCCATTCATAAATTCCATGAGATTTTGTTTAGTTGTCTAATATTTTTTCTTCTGAATTGTGAGCGAACTACAACCTCAATTAAAAAAAAATCTCATTTCAAAATCTCAATTTATCCAGAATTGTGCAGCTCTATTTTGCACACAAGCAGCTCTTAATCCAGTTTTTATGTAGCCGGGTGATTTTTGTTCTTGGTATTCAGCAGCAATTTAATGTTTTGCAAAAAGAGACACCGAATAAATATGCTTGATATCTAAATGTTTGACTTCATTTTTTTTAACCACATTGGAATCGTATCTGGGAATCGATATGAAGAATCAGAATCGATCGAATTAAAACGATACCCAACCCTAACGCACGGGTACTATTTGAACTGAACTGGACGATGACATCACTGAATAAATGATGAACTGACTTTAACTGAAAATTGAGTGTTTGCTGTTGTCCTTTTGCATTATTACACACCATTTTTCCTATTTGTGACCCTGGAGCACAAAACCAGTCATAAGGGTCAATTTTTCGAAATTGAGATGTATACATCATCTGAAAGCTGAATAAATAAGCTTATCCTAATGATTTTTGGCATGAAATAAAAATCGATAATTGTGACCCATACAATGTATTTTTGGCTATTGCTACAAATATACCCCAGCGACTTGAGACTGCTTTTGTGGTTCAGGGTCACATTTAGCGCTTTTAACAAAACAGATTGTGTCAAAGCAGCTTTACAGTATTAAATGTGACCCTGGAGCACAAAACCAGTCAAAAATCATTAGGATATTAAGTAAAGATCATTTTCCATGAAAATATTTTGTAAATGTCCTACCGTAAATATATCAAAACTTCATTTTTGATTAGTAATATGCATCTTTACTTAATATCCTAATGATTTTTGGCATAAAAGAAAAATCGATAATTGTGACCCATACAATGTATTTTTGGCTATTGCTACACAGCGACTTGAGACTGCTTTTGTGCTGCAGGGCCACATTTAGCGCTTTTAACAAAACAGATTGTCCAAATATTGTCCTATCCTAACAAACCATACATCAATGGAAAGACTATTTATTCAGCTTTACGACTGGTTATGTGGTCCAGGGTCACATATAAATAAAGGTGACTTTATTTAAAACGGTTCTAATGGTTTCTCTTGTTATATGCAGAAGGAGCCAGAGTTTCTGGATGTGTTGGAGAGCTGCTCGCTCACCTGGCTAACGGAGGGCCAGGTTTGGGGCGACGGGGTGCAACGGGTCACTGACGAGCCACCCGTCGTTCACTCGCCGCCGCGGCCGGACGACCGGAGAGCAGGCGAGTCGGAGCACACCTCGTCCGGAGGAGACCTGCTTCCGCCCGAGTTCTTCGAGCTCCTCAGCGAAGGCGGCGTCGGATCAGTGGAGACGATGTGCAACGTTTCGCATCACGCGCCTCCATCGCCGTCTGCCAGCGAAGAGGAGGAGCTCCCGACCGTCCCGGACACTTCGTCCTGCTCCTCAGCGTCCCGCTCGCCGTCTCCTCCCGTCTCCGCCGCTCGCCCGGGAAAGAGAAAACGAGGAGGCACGCCTTGCTCCCCGTCCCCCGGGAAGAAGAGCCGACGGGAGCGCGAGCATGAGAACGAGAGGAAGGTGCAGGAGCTGACGGATCAGAACGAGCGGCTCAAAGCCGAGATCGAGCGGCTGGGAGAGGAGGTGCAGCGGACGCGCCGGGCGCTCATCGAGAGACTCGTCAACACCAGGAGGTGAAGGAGCGACAGGAGGAGCCCAGGGGCCGAAGGGATTGGCGCTGACCGTGAAATGCACGTTTGGACGGAGATCAAAGACACGTGGGACAGAGAGGAGGTTCGCTGAGCGCCGAGAGAGCAAGAGAAAGTCAGATTGAGACGTAGAAAAGAAAGAGTGTGGAGCCCAACGGCAACACGGAGCAAACTCGACCCGAATACAAAGCACAGAAGAAAATCGGTTTTCATTAAGAAAATAAATGAAGATTTGTTTAGATCAGCGTGATGCATTTAAATCAACATCACTTAAAGGCAAATGCTACAACGTATGAATAATACGATTTAACATGAGCATGTTATGAGCAATTAAATATACCAATTAAAAAAAATTATTTTTCATAAAGAAAATGAAGCCGAATTCTAACTATTTTTTTGCAGCAAATTAAAATCACTAATGCAATTTTTTAAACATTAAAATCTGCATAAAGGCAAATACTACAATGTATGAATATTACAATTTGACAAATTACAAATCAATTGAAGAATGAGCAATAAAAATATCAAAAACTAATATTTAGCATGAAGCGTGATTTTAATTAAGATTTTGAAGTTTTTCTGAAGCAAATTAAAATGACTAAAATCAGCATAAAGGCAAATACTACATTGATGTATAAATGTAACAACAAACTACATTACAAATAAATTTAAAAATACGATTTGCATTACAGCGATACAAAAAGTATCAAAAGCAAATACGAAAAGGAGATTTTTCATAAAGAAAATAAAGTCTAATTTAAGAAAAAAATCTGAAATGATTAATGGATTTAAAAAAAAAAAAGCAAATACTATTTATTTGTAATATAATTTGTTAAATTGTAACATTAATAAATGTTAGAATTGAACAAATATTACAAAAAAAAATAAGAATAACATTACAGCAATAAAACTATCAAAATCAAATAAGAAACTCAAAGCCTAATTAAAGGGGAAATCCGATTTGCAGTAAAAAGACTAATACAACATTTAAATCAGCATAAATTAAATGCAAACACTGCTCTGCTGTATAAACGCTACAATGTAATGAATTACATTACAAATAGATTAAAGAATAAATTGCATTACAGCAATAAAAATATCAAAAGCAAATATGACCAATTAGAAAATGAAGCTTTATGCAGTAAATTAAAATGACTTTAATGCAATGTTTTAAACCAGCAAAAATTAAAGACGGTAAAACAAGTACTACTGTGTACTACTAAAGTTAAAGAATGACATATTTTGCATTAAACTAATCAAAATGCAGCATGTCATAAAAAAAAATCATAATGCAAAAAATTGTAATGCTACAAAAAAACGCCTTTTTTCTTGTGCATTCGGGATGTTTTGTGACCGGTTTTGTGAGATTGGTCTGATAATAGCGCTGTGATGCACCAACGTTTATTAAACTACCCAAACGTTAATCAACTTTGTGTAACTGAAAGCTGATTGTTCATCAGTGCCGAGGAGTCTTGAGGGAATGTAGCAGAGACGACGAGAGAAAAGGCAGAACTGCAATAATAAAGAGAAGAAGAGATCTGATTGTATCAGTGACGGTGATTGTAGGTGCGTTTCATTGTAAGCAGCCAGTTTTAATTCACGTCATGTGTTAACGAAGGGCTTTAACCGTGTAAACTCACCCCTAGTTGACAGAGATTAGTAGCTCAGGACTGTTATAGTAAACGATTGTGAGTGTTTCTCACCATCAACCCGAGGCCTCTAAGAGTGTGTGTGTGTGTGTGTGTGAGAGAGAGTGTGTGTTCAGATGACGTGGAAATTATGAATGGATGTCCGTAGCGATTTTGCTCTCACGTTCTTCTCTTGAAACTTTTCCAGAATTTTTAGAGCTAGCAGTTTATAACATACTCTCTGCCTCATGCCTATTTTTCTATACGTGTATCCCATAATTATCACGACATGTCATCATTTACCTTGTATTGTAGTTTCCTAATCTTACAGTAAACTTGCATGCCGAATTACTGTATTAGAGTAGAAACATCTGAATTTGATTTAGCCTTACTTAATACGGGATTGTATTACACTCATTTTGTTATTAAAATCTTAAAACGAGTCTTTGAGATGTTTTTTTTTTGTCTGTGTTTATTGATTGTGTGAATAAAATATGGTTGTTTCAGAGTAACAAGAAACAGTGAGAAACACATTGATTTTATTGCATTTTAAAAAGATAATTTAACAGACTTCATTGCATTTTAAAAAGGATAGTTTGTATTTTTATAGGAGTGGATGAATAGTGCAGTAAAGCCCTGAAAATATTCCTGTATGATGAATTTTTGATTTTTTTCCTCATGATCACCTTTTTATTTCTTCTTTCGTTTCTGAGCGGCCGGCTCCGGGTTCTTGCCCTCCGCAAGAGAAAGCTGTTTTTTCAGGTCCAGTAATGTCTCGACTGCCTCGTCAATAACAGACTGCTCAGCTTTCTGAGCTTTTAGGCCTCGTACTTTATTGCCCTGAAACACAAGCACACAGCGATGAATCACAAACCAGCACGACTAACCGTTAAACACGAGCGGAATCAAAATAGCACACCTTCATTTAACTCGACACTTAAAAGGCTTTAATAAAATGAGAAATTTAATAAAATGAGAAAATATTAAATCGCAATGTCAGTATGTTCTCGGGTCACGGCACTGTAAAAATATGGAAACAAAAGTACTAAAGAATTCACTAAAATGAGAGAAATTAATTTGAATCAAATTTGAAAAAACGGAAATATATATATATATTAGCCAATACATGCAGCTACTAAAGCAAGTTTTTTGGACAAAAAGGCAGCATACGGACGCTTGAACCATCCACTAGTATATTATATTACACTGAAAAGCCAAGAACAAATGTATGAACGGTTATTTCAGTATATTTATTTGACATATGTGACCCTGGAGCACAAAAGCAGTCTTAACGGACATTCAAATGGTCCACTAGTGGCTCTTCAATATCATATTGAAGAGCCAAAACATGAATGCATAAATAGTAATTTCAGTATATTTATTTGATGTGTGTGTGTGTGTTCGTACTTGTTCTGCCACTAAAGCCGTCAGCTGTTTGGCTCTCTCTGGATCTGCGTTTACATTCACCGAGGCGTCCTGCGCCGCACCAGCGCTGGGTTTGGTCTCGACTCGAGCCTAGAAATAGAAAAAATATATATATTTCAAATAGTGGATCATGTGTGCATCAAAAAAAAAAAAAAAAAAAAAAAAAGGAAATCAATTAAAGCCACAAATTATACATGCATTTGTTTTTCATGTGTTTTAATTAGAAACATAATTTAACAATTATATGGCATAATTTAATTATTAATAAAAAGTAAAAAAAAAAAGCATGCATTTAAAGTGCATGCATCTTGAAAATATAATATAATTATAGGAAATATTTTAACTACTAACAAAAACACATGCATTTTTTTTATCTTAAATATAATGTAATTGGGTCAAAGACGTTGAGATGTCCGCATCAAAAGAAATTTACAAAAGTGATTATATGTCCATAGAAAGCACATTAAAAGTAAGTGAAGTGTCTACTTTTAAGGTTTCAAATAAGTTTTTGGAGAATAAAATGTTAAAATTTGGTTGAAATAATGTTACATTGTCATTCAGTGTAACACAATATTTATGTAAAAATTCAAACAACATGCTTATTCTGACTTGTGCATATTAAAATGTATAAAATAATAAGTGAGCATATTAAATTTGATTGTTTTAAACGAGTAAAACATTCTTACTGATAAAATGGGCAAAATCTAGGATAGTGGCAAATTTAAAAAATGTAAAATTACAACTAATTAGTATTAGGAGTGAAAGTAATTCGTCTTTTAATATGTCATAAATTGATTTTTGTTGTAAATATGCCTGACATGATTGCTACACTGAATGACATTTTAGTGGGTCTCTTCTGTAAATCAGGGGAAAATGTATGATATTTATTTTTTGCTCGGAAAAACAAAAACAAAATTGCAATTAAATTAAACAGAATCTTTTTTACTTTTTTTGGGAAAAACAACAACAATTTAAAGCAGTATTACACTTACTGTTTTTATGCTTAAACACTTTTTCGTCTTTGACCCAATTACATTAGATATTTTAATTGCCAACAAAAAATACATGCATTTATTTTTTTATCTTTAAAAATGCAATTTAATAATTATATGAAATAATTTAATTATTGATAAAAATACAACAAAATCAGATTTGGTAATCTAATTTAATAGAGAGCGATCACACAAACGCACACATGTGATTAATATGTTAGCACACGCAGGCATTGAGCAGCTCTGTGAAATCATCGCTCTTAAATACACATTAAAACCAATCTAAAATGCAGTTTGTCGTCTTTCAGATGTTTTTCGCTCAGAGCAGCCAGAGGCAGATTGTGCGCGAGTGACTGACAGCGGAGGGCTTTGCTCCAGAGCTGCCGCTCTTTGAATATAGACATCATCACTGAATCGATTTCACAGTCAGTTCTAGTGAAAACGGAGACACAAGAGCGTCACACGCATGTCTACCTTCACTTTAGCGCTCTCCTCTTCTGGCTGAGAAAGAGCAGATTAAATCACACAATCAGACAAACAAGCGCAAGAGAAAAAACATGAAACCTGAAGCTGATCTTCATCAGATCCATTAGTTCTTGCTGATATCATGGCTCTTTCTTATATCTTTCGTCCAGTGAGTTTCCATAACTTCAGTCATGCACGAGTATTTTTTACAAATCATTTTATAAAGATAAAGCTCACAAAGAGCTATTTCGAACTAATAAAGTAATGTTATATACACATTTTTGACCTTGTGTTTATTGATTGTATGAATAAAATACAAGGTTGTGCCAAAGCAGGGAAACAAAGCAGAAAAATGAAACGGCTAATACATAAATGATTGCATTTTAAAAAGGAGCATTCAGAATAATTCTCAGAAACTGAAAGCATTTTTAGAAATAATTCTATAAAGATCAGACTCACAAAGAGCAGTTTCTAGATGATAAAACAGCATATATTTATAAATAAATATGTATGTGTGTATATGTTGTTACTTGTATAAAAATGTATATAAATATTTAATAATATTATAATTTTATTACTTTATTATTATCATTTATTTTTTTACTTTTTTTACTTTTAAAATAATTTTCACGACTTTGTTAATTTCCATAAGCATGTCTGGCCTGGAAAACACAATTTTGCAGTTTCTGCCTGAAAACCCTGATTAATAATGGATGAATGTCTTTTACAAACCTGTTGTCCTCCAAATCTCTTCCTCAGAACCTCGATCTGTTCGTTCTCCAGCTTTTGGAACAAAGGACTGACCTGCAGGAGAGGTCAAAAAAATGTAATAATTCAAATAAAACAAACAAAAGGTTCAGGTTGTTAATATTCCTTTTTAATAATGCTGTACTTTTCTCACACCTTACGACACCTAATATTAAACCAGTAATATTAAATGTTAATATTAAGTTAATGGAGCTAGTACCGTGCCGATGCAGTGTCCGGCGGGCAGAGTGCAGATGAAGGTTCCCGTGTTCTGCAGCATTGCGCTGACGCAGGTGGGCGGAGCCTGCAGCTGCTGGCGGATGGTGTGACTGACAGACGGCATGTACGGCTCCAGCACGACCGACAGGAGACACGCCACGTTCACTGACACACCTGTCACTGTCCCGGCCCGTTGCCTGCGGCACAAACACATGCTAACATCACGCAAACGCACACTAACATCTCACAAACACACGCTAACATCACGCAAACACACGCTAGCATCACGCAAATACATGCTAACATCACAAACACACGCTAACATCACGCGAACATCAGGCAAACACACGCTAACATAAACACACGCTAACATCACGCGAACACACGCTAACATCACGCAAACACATGCTAACATCACGCAAACACACGCCCCAACATCGCGCAAACACACGCTAACATCACAAACACACGCTAACATCATGCAAACATCACGCAAACACACTCAAACACACGCAAACATCACGCAAACACACGCTAGCATCACGCAAACACACGCTAACATCACACAAACGCACACGAGCAGACGCTATCACACAAACGCACGCTAACATCACGCAAACACAAGCTAACATCACGCAAACGCACACGAGCAGGCGCTATCACACAAACGCACGCTAACATCACGCAAACACGCGCTAACATCACAAACGCACACTAACATCACGCAAACACACTAACATCACGCAAACGCACGCTAACATCACGCAAACGCACGCTAACATCACGCAAACGCACGCTAACATCACGCAAACGCACGCTAACATCACGCAAACGCACGCTAACATCACGCAAACGCACGCTAACATCACGCAAACGCACGCTAACATCACGCAAACGCACGCTAACATCACGCAAACGCACGCTAACATCACGCAAACGCACGCTAACATCACGCAAACGCACGCTAACATCACGCAAACGCACGCTAACATCACGCAAACGCACGCTAACATCACGCAAACGCACGCTAACATCACGCAAACGCACGCTAACATCACGCAAACGCACGCTAACATCACGCAAACGCACGCTAACATCACGCAAACGCACGCTAACATCACGCAAACGCACGCTAACATCACGCAAACGCACGCTAACATCACGCAAACGCACGCTAACATCACGCAAACGCACGCTAACATCACGCAAACGCACGCTAACATCACGCAAACGCACGCTAACATCACGCAAACGCACGCTAACATCACGCAAACGCACGCTAACATCACGCAAACGCACGCTAACATCACGCAAACACACGCTAACATCACCCAAACACACGCTAACATCACCCAAACACACGCTAACATCACGCAAACACACTAACATCACACAAACGCACGCTAACATCACAAACGCACGCTAACATCACGCAACCACGCTAACATCACGCAAACACTAGCTAACATCACCCAAACACATGCTAACATCACCCAAACACACGCTAACATCACGCAAACACACTAACATCACGCAAACGCACGCAAACATCACGCAAACGCACGCTAACATCACCCAAACACACGCTAACATCACGCAAACACACTAACATCACGCAAACGCATGCTAACATCACACAAACGCACGCTAACATCACAAACGCAACATCACAAACGCACGCTAACATCACGCAAACACACGCTAACATCACACAAACGCACACGAGCAGACGCTATCACACAAACGCACGCTAACATCACGCAAACACAAGCTAACATCACGCAAACGCACACGAGCAGGCGCTATCACACAAACGCACGCTAACATCACGCAAACACGCGCTAACATCACAAACGCACACTAACATCACGCAAACACACTAACATCACGCAAACGCACGCTAACATCACAAACGCACACTAACATCACGCAAACACACTAACATCACGCAAACGCACGCTAACATCACAAACGCACACTAACATCACGCAGACACGCTATCATCACGCAAACGTACGCTATCATCACGCAAACGTACGCTAACATCACGCAAACGCACGCTAACATCACGCAAACGCACGCTAACATCACGCAAACACACGCAAACACACGCTAACATCACACAAACACATGGCAGGAGCTCAAAACTGTGGAAGCCCGTTTCCAACATGAGAGAAAAAAAAGAAAGGTAATTGCAACTTTTTATCTCCCTATTATGACTTTGTAAAATGCAGTTGTGAGTTTATATCATGCAATTCTGTGGGGGAGTCAGGGGAAAAAAAGTCACAACAGATTAAAAAAAATAAAATAAAAAAATTGCAATTATAATTTTTATTTGTTATTCAGTGGTGGAAACAAGCTTCCATACAATACAAATTCAAAATAAGAGAGTGAGAATTACTTTGTGCTCATAATCTCAATAATGTTTTTTTCCTCTGTTTAGAAATAATGTTTCATTCAGATTTTACTAACGGCGTGATCACGTGTTACACGACTTGCCTGTCACCGTCTCCTCCTTTGATCTTCTTCCAGGGCTCGTTAACCTGGATGTACTGATTCCCGTGACGAGAGATATTCAGGATGCACTTCAGAGCATCACGGATCCTGAACAAACAGCCCAGAAACAAAAAAAACAAAACACGATGAGACGCACTTACGTCTTTACACGTGCATTATTAAGACACAAACATGCTTGAAGAGATTCTCATCAGAAATAAACGCTTCTTCCAGTAATTTCATAATCAAGGTTCTCACTGTTTTTGTTTAACAATGAATTTCCGAGACACTTCCAGTTGTTTGTGGTAACTGGGTAAGGCAACACAGGTGAAAAGGGTCAAAAATTAACTATTAAATATCACCATACTTAATAACAATTGCAAACATTTTTTGAATGACAAGTTTTCTGAAATGTTATGTTTAAATATGCAACTGAGGCACAATCTAAGTGAATGTGCACTAATTTGCATACATTTCCAGAACAGAAATCTGAATATCGAATCATGCAAGAAGTCACAAAACGTCATTTGTGATTTTGTTGACATTACAGGTTTTTTTCCAGAGGGGATTTTGGATTTCTCTTTTTATCACTCCATTAATCAGAAAACACTGTCAACAGACATAAAACAAATACATTTTCATGATGTCTTTAGGTATAAAATATTAAAAAATAATGCTTGATTGTGATTGATACATAAATAGGCATTCAGAATATAGATAGGAATAAAACGGTTAAGTTTTGTGTAAGTGCTGCTGAAATTGAGAAAAAAAGTGTCAATTAAAAAAGAATAAATCAAGAATAAAAAAATTAAAAAAAAGAATTCAGAATAACTCTCAGAAAATGTTGATGTCGTGCACAAGCATTTTTAGAAATATTTTTTATAGACATCAGACTCAAAAAGGGCAGTTTCTAGCTTATTGTGTATATATATATATATATATATATATACACACACACACTTACTGCCTGCTGAAATATTATAGAGCTGAGCAAAGCCAGACAAATGTCATTACATGCTGGAAATCAGAGCTTTAATATTCCCTGATACTGACATGAATGTGTGAGACCTGCATCTGTGGATCTCTGCGTGTTGCTGCAGAATTGTGGATAACTGACCTGACTTTATCCAGCAGCTGGATGTACTGCTTGAGCTCCCAGCGGACCTGAGCGATGAGCCGATTGTCATCTTCATTCAGGAGCATCTCAGGAACGCAGCCGTCGAAGAACTTACTGACGAACATCCCGGCCCTGAGGAGAGACCAGCAGCAGCACTGATGAGAACTAAACGTGCTTCAGATCAGTTCAAGAAAACTAAGAGTGCAGTTATATTGTGCACTATAACACAAACAAAAAGCAAACCAGATTTAAACAGAAGAAGAATGTTTAGTATTTGTAAACAGATGCTCGATAGTTTAATTTAATTTATATTGCATGCAGAAGCTTGATTATTTGTGACCCTGGAGCACAAAAGCAGTCTTAAGTCGCTGGGGTATATTTGTAGCAATAGCCAACAATACATTGTATGGGTCACAATTATAGATTTTTTTTAATGCTAAAAATCATTAGGATATTAAGTAAAGATCATGTTCCATGAAGATTGTAAATTTCTTACCGTAAATATATCAAAACTTAATTTTTGATTAGTAATATGCATTGCTAAGAACTTCATTTGGACAACTTTAAAGATGATTTTCTCAATATTTTGATTTTTTTGCACCCTCAGATTCCAGATTTTCAAATAGTTGTATCTCAGCCTAATATTGTCCTATCCTAACAAACCATACATCAATGGAAAGCTTATTTATTCAGCTTTCAGATGATGCATAAATCTCAATTTCGAAAAATTGACCCTTATGACTGGTTTTATGGTCCAGGGTCACATTTGTGCATTTTGCCCAAGAACAAGTTCTATGGAGTTAATGCATTTTATTATGTGAAGATTAGCATCAATGATAAAAAAATGAAAACCAAAGTAAGTAAAACTGATGGAAAGTGAGACATTTTGCACATTTTTACTTAATGTCAGTGTCATTTTAGTATCACTGATACTATTATAGTTTTTATTAATATTTTGAATCAGTTTTTATTTTCATATTTTCCATCTTTGTTTTAACTTTAAAGTTTTAATAATTTTGTCATATCATTTTTAGTTTTTTTTTTTTTTTTTTATGTATGCCTGTATAGTTTTTATTCATTTCTATTTTGGTTTCAATTTCAGTACATCAAGTTTTGTGTTTTGTTTTTGTGTGTGTTTTTTTTATGCTTTGTTTGCTTTTGTATGGTGACTTTTTAACACTCTGTCAAGAGTCTCCAGACGAAAAACTGAAGAAAAAAAAAAGCCTTTCAGCAAAATCTGGCACATTTACGTCATGTTCATTAATGTGCATCACACCTGTAAATGAATAAACTTCAAACTTGAAGTTAAACTACATGAAAATGACAAATGCCGCCTTTTTATATTTTAGTTTATTTCAGTTCAAGTTTATTTTATTTCAAGTAACAAAAACGCTTATTTCATGTTTTTAATTTTAGTTTGAGTTTGTGTGAACTACAGGAACCCTGCATCATGTGTTTTTAATGAATAGCTGGTGGCCAAGTGTGAATAATATACGCAAACTGATTGAAATCTGATCAATCAAGATGCATAAGTGTGTGTATGTGTGTGTGTGTGTGAGTGGAGTGTGAGAGTGTGTGTGTTGTGTATGTATGTGAGTGCATGTGTGTGAGTTGTGTATATGTGTGTGTGTGTGTGTGAGAGAGAGAGAGAGAGAGAGTGTGTGTGTGTGGAAACGTGTGTGTGAGTGTGTGTGTGTGTATATGTGCGTGTTGTGTATGTGTGTGTGTGTGTTTTGTATGTGTGTGTGTGTGTTGTGTATGTGTGTGTGTGTGTGTGTGTTTGTTTAGTGTAGGACGGAAGATCAGAATCAGAATCAGAATGAGCTTTATTGCCAGGTATGTTTACACATACGAGGAATTTGTTTTTGTGACAGAAGCTTCCACAGTGTAACAGAATGTTCACGGGAGAGATTGGCTTTATTAAAGTCCCCGAGAATGATTAAAACAGAGTCCGGGTGTTGTTGTTCTGTCTCTGTGATCTGATCAGCGAGTTTCTGTAAAGCGGAGCTCACGTGTGCTTGCGGATTAATGTAGACACTTACAAGAATGAATGAGCAAAACTCCCGCGGCGAGAAGAACGGCTTACAGTTAATGAAGAGCACTTCTAGATCTGAACAGCACAAACCGGTGAAATATCAGGTGGTGTGTACTTCCGAATGTCCAGCAATTCGTCTCTGGTGAAACTGATTGCAGGGATATACCTAAAGACAGGACAAACTAACAAAAACATAAAAACAACTGCGGAGCACGCCACGGAGGCAGCCATCACCGTCGCCGCCATCGTTAGAATTTTCGTTAGAAAGATGTTAGAAAGATGATATTATAATAATTCTGACTCACACTCCAGCAGCACAAACCTGTTGATGAAGTTGCCGAGGTTGTTGAGGAGCTCGGAGTTGTTTTTGAGAGCCATGTCGCTCCAGGAGAAAGCAGAGTCCTGTCCTTCCGGCCGCAGATACAGAAGATAGAAGCGCCAGACGTCCGACGGGATCCCGGTGTCTTTAGCCATGTCACCGAACACACCGACGCCTCGACTCTTGGAGAACTTCGTGTCCTCGTAATTCAAGTATTCTGGACACATGAAAACAAACAAACAACAATTATTATTATTAAATATTAGAATGTTTTTACTCTGCTGTTCAGATGTTTGGGGTTAGTAAGATACTTTTATTCATTAAGGCTGCATTAAATTGATCAAAAGTGACAGTGAAGACATTTATAATGTTACAAAAGATTTCTATGCCAAATAAATGCTGTTCTTTTTAACTTTCTATTCATCTGTGAATCCTGAAAAATAAAATGTATCAGTTTCCACAGAAATATTGTGCAGCACAACTGTTTTCAACATTGATAATAATCAGAAATGTTTCTTGAGCAGCAAATCAGCATATTAGAATGATTTCTGAAGATCATGTGACACTGAAGACTGCAGTAATGATGCTGGAAATTCAGTTTTGATCACAGAAATAAATTACAGTTTAACAGATAATCACATAGAAAATATCTATTTTAAATCATAATAATATTTCACTATTTTTACTGTATTTCTGATCAAATAATTCAGCTATGATCACAGAAATAAATTACATTTTAAAATGTATTCAAATAGAAAACAGTCATTTTAAATTGTAATAATATTTCACTTTTTTTATTGTTTTAACTTGTGTATTTGATCAAATAAATGCAGCCTTGATGAGCAGAAGAGACTTCTTTCAAAAACTTTACTTACTAGACTATATATAAACTATATGTGACTCTGCAGCACAAAAGCAGTGTTAAGTCGCTGGGGTATATTTGTAGCAATAGCCAACAATACATTGTATGGGTCAAAATTATAGATTTTTCTTTTATGCCAAAATCTCAGCCAAATATTGTCCTCCTATCCTAACAAACCATACATCAATGGAAAGCTATTTATTCAGCTTTTCGTATAAAACCATTGAAAAATTGACTCTTAAGACTGGTTTTGTGCTCCAGGGTCACATATTTAATATGCAGTGGTATATGCATGCATACTAGATTAAATTAGACAGCAATCATCTGTATGGTTTCATGTTCTGTGAATGATCTGATCTGTGTGTTGTGTTCGGGTCTCACCCGTAGCAATGAGGTGATTCACCAGTGTGTAGTTGTCTTGAGCTCCGAGAAGTGAACAAGGGAACACTACACTGTGGAAGGGAACGTTGTCCTTCGCCATGAAGTTATAGAGCTCCACCTACAGGACACACAGGAGCATTACATCACAGCGAAGAATTCAGGGTTTGACAAAGACACAGTTTTTATTACTCAAAAAGTCATTATAAAGCAATCCGTGGTTTACAGTGAATTTATAACAGCTAAGGGGCGTGGTTAGGCACGAGCTGTTATAAATTCACTGTAAACCACGGCTTCACGGGGCTTATTGCTTTTATAAAACGGTTATTCCATATACGTAGTAAGGTTTCACAAAATAAAACAGAGCAAATAAAGTGTAATGATATTAATAAAAACAATATTCTTCCACCAAACAATGTAGCGCCTCAGAAACAGTTATGGTTGCTACAAAGTGGTTGCCGAGCAACACACAAACGTAAACAAAGGTGTATGTTACTTTGTAGAGTAATTTACAACAGCTTCGAACGCAGCTCAGCCAATCAGAATCAAGCACCGGAACTCTCCGTTTTATAATTAACCATAAATCAGCTTTTACTTCTTAAAATGCGGCTATGACTGCAGCTGCACTAATTTTGAAGTAGAAAATAAAGCAATGGTTATCGGAGGGTGTTTTTACCAGAAAACACTATTTCAGTCTTTCTACTTAAAAATTTCACATATAATTCAATTAACACATCTTTTAGCCATCTTCAAGAATCGGCTAAGAACACATCTCTTTCATCTTTATTTAACCCTCTAACTCTAGCACTCTCTATTCTAATTCTATTCTTAAAAAAAAACAAAAAAAAACTTGCCTCTTTTAGACTTGCACTCTATTCATTTACTAACTGCTTGTTTTCTTTTAAAAAGAAACTAACACTAGCTTCTCAATTCTTTTTGTATTCTATTTGTTTTCTTTTTATTTATTATACAATTAACAAAGAAAAAAAAGGCCTCTAACACTAGCTTGCTCTACTCTTTTTCTATTCTATCGGTTTTCTTTTAATTATTTAATTTAGATTTTAATTGCTTCCATTGTCCTCATTTGTAATAGCAATTTCTGAATGAAAATTGTTAATGAATTAAAAAATAAATCCTAAGCCTTTTTTCCCAGTGTACATCATCTTAAACATACGCAGAAAAATTCAAGTTCTTCGAAACAAGTCTTAAAATAAACATGATGCTAGTATTATTTTTGTATCATTGAGAAACTGCTATATTTTTATTAATATTTTGAATCAGTTTTTATTTTCATATTTGTTCTCTTTTCATTTTAATTTTGAAGTTTTGTCGTGTATTTTTGTCATTTTTAGTAGTTATTGTTTTGTATATGTATATATATCTATATAGATTTATTAATGTTGGTTTCATTTTAGTATCATTGACATACTAATATAATTTTTATTTTACATTTTTGTTAAAGTTTTAGTAATTTTGTTCTATATATTGCTTTACACATTTTGATCTATATAGTTTCTATTCATTTTTATTTCATTTTCAATTCTAGTCATTTCAGAACATCAAGTTAAATTAAAAGAAATAAACAAATTTTTGTTTATTATTTTATTTTAGTTAACATTTTATTTCAAGTAACAAAAATGATTTATTTTTTATTTTTTATGGGTTTTAATTTGTTTCAATTTCAGTTTTAGTTAATTATAATAACCCTGTCCCAAACAACCATAAACAAGTCTGAAGAGAGAGAGAGAGATATATAAGATTTGCATCAAATTCAGGAGGTTAATTATGAAATGTTATTGGCCAGCACCTGCTGAGGATTCTTCCACCACTTCTCCCATTGGTCGGTGTAGTTTGCGGTGATGGAGAGGTAGCCAATAGGAGCATCGAACCACACATAGAACACCTTCACAGACAGACGGATGCAGACCGATGATTTCAACACATATTAGTGAAATAACATCCTATACAGTGATTAGATGTAAAATTATTAGAACACTAGTATTTCCAGCAGCTAAAAAATGGTTAAAAGTCAGTTATTTCTATCTTTTGCTGTAGTGTGTCAGTAGGAAATATCAGTTTACATTTAAGGGGGCGGGGCTGACCTTGTTGCTATGGATGATGTCAGCATGCTTATTAACTATGCACACAGTGATTGGCTGATAGATTTGTTCATAGAAATATTGTAGAGCACAACATTATTTTGCCATATTCAAATAAAGGTTAAAAAATAAAAGTGTTAATTGCTACATTAATACATGATAGTAAGACATGCAAACAAGCACAGATGTTACTTCTTAACCAAATTGTTAATGAAAACAAGGATATAATCAAAGGAAAATTTGGAGTTGGAATAGCCTCCAAAACCAAAAAAGATGCATGTGAAAACACGTGTGTGCTAATAAATGCAGCATGTTTGTAAAATGTTTACATTCTGAGGCAGGTTGCCTGCAACAGCTATTTTAGGATAGTTTGTGGCTTAGGAGTCCTCTTCACTGCTCCTAACGTTTCACAGATTTAGGAGCTATTTCCTACTGACACACTACAGCTTGATTCGCTAAAATGGACTTATCGGCTTCTGTTCACAAACAACAAGGGCGCTTGTCGGCTTCTGCAATAAAACATGAATTCGCGATGCCTTGAAAGTGGACAATACCAGCTTTTTTGACAAAACGTGTTTAGGGTTCAGATCGCACTATATATGGAGAATAATGCACAGCACTTTTAATGCATTTTTTTTTAAAGTGGTGTTTATCGGTTTTTGTAAATAAACTCTTCATATGTTCAGCTAATTGTCAGCCTCTTACATGTATGCTTCTCGTAAACAATTAGCGGGTATGCATATAAAAAGCTTTTTAATGAACAGAGTAGAATAATCATGGCTGATAGTAAGGCATGCAAAAGTAAAAGTAAACCAAATAGCTGTTACTACTTGCCAAACTTGTTAATGAAAACAAGGATATAATCAAAGGAAAATTTGGAGTTGGAATAGCCTCCAAAACCAAAAAAGATGCATGTGAAAACACGTGTGTGCTAATAAATGCAGCATGTTTGTAAAATGTTTACATTCTGAGGCAGGTTGCCTGCAACAGCTATTTTAGGATAGTTTGTGGCTTAGGAGTCCTCTTCACTGCTCCTAACGTTTCACAGATTTAGGAGCTAGTTTTAGAGCTAAAACACTTTTTACAAAATTTAGGACTGACACGCCCATTATTTTTAAGATTTTCTCCTAAATCGACGAGTTATGAGCTACTTATAGCCTTGAGATGTTTTGTGAATACAGGCCCTGATCGTTACTTAATATCCTAATGATTTTTAAATGTAAACTGATATTTCCTACTGACACACTACAGCAAAAGATAGAAATAACTGACTTAAAACCCTTTTTTAGCTGCTGAAGACACTAGTGTTCTAATCACTTTGGCCAGCACTGTATCTGATGACTGTGCGCTCGTACCTTCTCCTTGTATTCCTCGTGTGGCACAGGTGTTCCCCACCGCAGGTCACGTGTGATGCAGCGCGGTTTAAGGCCGTCGCGGAGCCATGAGTGCGTGATGTGCCGCGCGTTTGCCGTCCAGTCGCCGGAGCCTGTCGATTTATCGAGCCACTGCTCCAGCTCGTCCTCCAGCTACACACACACACACTCTCACACACACGCACTCTCACACACACGCACTCTCACACACACGCACTCTCACACACACGCACTCTCACACACACGCACTCTCACACACTCTCTCTCTCACACACACACACACGTTTGTTTCTGTGAATTGTGGGGACTTTACAGAGCCTTCTATTACTTTTATACTGACCAAATGATATTTTCTATCCCCTAACCCTAAACCTACCCCTTACAGAAAACCTGTTTGCATTCTTACACTTTCAGATAAACATCATTTACTATTTTTAATAATTGTTTTCCCTCGTGTGGACCACAGGGATGTCCTGTGGATGTCCTCCACAATGTCAAAAATTTCAAGTTTTAGTATCCTTGTGGGGACATTTACACATACACACACATACTCTCTCTCTCTCTCTCTCTCTCTCTCACGCACACAACTCTCTCTCTCTCACACACTCTCTCACACACACTCTCTCACACACTCTCTCTCTCACACTCTCTCTCTCACACACACACTCTCACACACACGCTCTCTCACACACACACACACTCTCACACTCTCTCACACACGCTCTCTCACACACGCTCTCTCACACACGCTCTCTCACACACGCTCTCTCACACACGCTCTCACACACG